TAGGGAGTATAGTCTCCTGACGACGTGGAGACCAAATTTCTATGTTACATATCATTTTTGTGAGGTTTTGCCCAAGTGTCTAAGAAACTCTTACCCAAGAAGAAGGTTTCAGCAAAAGAAACAAAGACGGTCACGAGGAGCTCACGTGACATCTATACAATACAGCAAAGGGACAAAGGAGTAATTAACCTATGTCTGAACTCAATCTCTTTTGTCTCCTTCCTCTGTACGGAACAGAGCATGCGAGAAAGAAAGAAGAAAGAGAGACAGGTTGTCTTGTATAAAAGGGGAGTAAGCTGAGGTCTTTTAGGGTTAAGACGTAAAAGAGAGCAATAACAAGAGACGGCTAAGTTTATAGCTGGTATGTAGGGTTTTTTGTAACCAAGAACAGAGCTTTCTAGTGGATTTCCGAGTAAATCTCGGCGAGACGTAGCGTTTCCGATTTGGAACGTGAACTCGTTAAAATTGCTGTGTCTTTTACTTTCAGTTCTGTTTTTCCAAAGCTTAACACACGAGAGAAAAACATTCCGCGAGTGAAAGTGAGTTTAGAGACAAAAGTTCAAGTATTTCTTACAAAAGCTTCAAGAAACTTTCAAAGATTCTTAACAAATTGGTATCAGAGCACCAGGTTCAAGAAAGGTGCAAGCTTTTAGTAGGAAGGAGCAAGTTTTAGCGAAAGGTGTAAGCTTTATCATAAAGCTTAAGGTTTTTCTCAAGAAAGGTAACATTTTTTTTCAAGTTAGAGCTTCGGTTTAAGAAGTTTACCTCTCAAGAATTAGTCATGTCGTCTGGAATAAGTTGTATAGACAAGCTGACTAGGAGAGGAGACTATATCCTCTGGAAACAGAAGATCTTAGCTCATTTTGAGTCTCTAGATCTGCTAGAAGCCATCAAAGAGGAGGAAGTTAAAGAGAGAAGTTCTGAAATCACAAAAGTAACAGAGAAACGGGGAGAAAAATCTGAAAAGTTTCATATCTTGGAAGAGAAAAGAGAAAAGGCAAGGTCTTTCATCATACTAAGTGTCGAAGATCATATCTTGCGAAAGATTGTGAAAGAAACGACAGCCTCAGGTATGATAAAGACTCTTGATCAGCTTTACATGTCTAGGCCATTATCAGATCGTATATATCTCAAGAGGAAGCTGTATGAGTTCAGCATGAATGAAGACATTTCTATTGAAGAGAATATAAACGAGTTTCTGAAGTTAGCTTCAGATATAGACAAAGAGAATGCTGATGTATCAGATGAGACAAAAGCAATATTGCTACTCAAGTCTCTTCCTAGCCGGTTTGATAAACTCCGAGATTCCATGATATATTGCGAGTATCCCTTAACCTTAGGGAGAGTTATGAATGCAATACACACGAAAGAGGTGGAGCTGAGTCGGACAGTGAAACAAGACGAGAAAAGTGAGGCGATGGTGTCCAAAACAGAGAGAGTAAGACCAGATTGCAGTGGAAAACAAGAAAAGGGAAAAGAAAAGGCTGAATCTGTGTCTGGAAGAAGCAAATGTCCATGTTGGAAATGTGGAGAACGAGGACATGTCAAGAAAGAGTGTTTCAAAGGGAGTGAGAGCAACCAGATGCGAGAAAAGTTTGGTGTTGAAAGAAGTGAAGCAACAACGGCCAAGTGGAGTAAACAAGATGAGTCTGCTTCATTGGTCTCAGATTTTGATACTCTCACGACAAAACAATGCTCTGACATGTGGATTTGTGACACAGGATGTACCTCTCATATGACCCCAAGAAAAGAGTGGTTTGTAGACTTGAAGATGTTAGAACCTGGAAGTGTGAAGATGGCAAATAACACTTCGTCACAGGTTAAAGGGATTGGAAGTGTGAGAATTCAGAATGAAGATGGAACAACAGTATTGTTGACTAATGTCAAGTATGTTCCAGAGATGACAAGGAATCTCATATCTTTAGGGACACTTGAGAACAAGGGATGCTGGTTTAAATCCAAGAATGGGATTTTAAAGGTTATTAAGGGATGTCTTACACTGTTAAAGGCTCAAAGGAGTGAGTGTCTCTATATCCTTAAAGGAAGTGTAGTTGCAGTTGGACCAAAAACTGCAGAAATACTTCAAGATGAGACAAAGATGTGGCATAGAAACGTTGCTCACATAAGTCAAGAAGGTCTCGAGGTTATGGATAAGAACAGAGGAAAGAGCAGTGAAAAAGAGGCTGGTGGAGACTGTGTACAGGAAGAAACAAAAGGAATGAGGTGTGTTTCGGAAAAACCTGTAACTAAAGGGAAGATTGAGAACATGCACTCAGAGTTGTTGTGTTCTACTCTTACTCCAAGATCATTAAGGAATTGGCACTTCCTTATCACAGCGGAGTGGAAGAGGATGGTGGAAACACCATTGGAAAGGACAGTTGGGAAAGTGATAACAAGAAAAGGATTCAAGCAGTGTGACATAAAGCTTGATAGTCTCTGCAGACTAGAAGAAGTTGCAAGTATAAATTTAAGCAAAAAATTATTGCATCAAAGAGACTCTACAGAAGAAGAAAACATATTGATCATGGAGAAAGAGAGATCCTTGCTAAGTGAGAATGGGTTGTTAGAAGAAATCTGGGCAGAAACTACTACAAGAACATTTCTCTTGATTGCAAGATCTTCATCATCATCAGTGTTCAGTCCGAATATTCCTACAGAAAATTGGATAGGATCAATATCAAGTCACGAGAAGTTTAGGAGTTTTGGATGCGTCATCAACGCACACTCAGACCAAGATGGAAATTTCTCAAGAGTCGAGAAATGGAGTTTGCTTGTTTACTCTCAAACGGTAACAAGTTGCAGGGTCTGGTTATTGGAGCTAGAAAGGTGTGTAACAAGCAGAGATATTATGCATCAAGAACCCAAGATGCATAAAAATGACTTGATAGCGTTGCACACAATTAGGCTGTCAGATGAATCTCAGAGAATCACCCATCAGTCTCCTATTTATGCAAATTGGAATCTATTATCAGTTCAAGGTGGAGCTGTTGGAGTTGTTTCAAGAAAAGGAACTCTCTTGGAAGGAGAATCAGACTTTCTGAAAATTATATCACAAGAAGGTGATTGTCAATCAAAAAGAGATCAAATTAGAAGAGATATCAAGCCAAACAAGTGTTATTGGGAATTAAATGCGCTTATACTAGCTAGTGCCAAGATCACATATGAAGACGGAGTAGTACTAGTAAGTCTTCAAGAAGAAAATGATGTCAAAGAGAGGTATAAATGCTGGCAGTTTGGGGAAGAAAAATCAGATATCTCTAAGGGTGAAATGCCAAGTTTTGATTCCGGGTTATTGACAAAACACTACACACATAGAAACTGGACTGAAAGTTGTGGAGTATGCAGAAGAATTCAAGTCATGCCAGCAGAACAGTCGAAGCTTCAAAGTAGAAGAAGAAACCAGTGTGTTTCAAAGGTGAAGAGTAAGAACAGACAAGAGAGGTTTTTACACGCAGAAAAGTGCATCTCTAGCATGTTAGTGATGCACGGTAATGATGAGTCATGCCTTGAGATGGATCACGTTCATGTAGAAAGCACATATCTACACTTGACTCAGGATGAGTTCATACTCATGGATCAGCCTGCATATAAAGAACAGGTTATCACAGAAAAAGAAAGAGGCTGCACCAGTAATGATATAGTCGATATATCAAGTAGGAATTCTGAATTCAAGCTCCTAAAGGATCTAATAAGCAGTAAAGCTGAGTTGGGAAACTTAGATGAAGAAGAGGAGGCAAATATTCAGTGGTCAGCAGTCAACAGAGATAAGTTTAGAGCAGCAAGCAAGTTGCTTCTAAGGAACTGTCTAAGAATGATACTTGAAATGTTCAACTTGGGTAAATCCAAGAGTGTTATTACACTAAGAGAATACCATTTCAAGATTAAAGCTGCAGCAACAAAGGAATTGACATCTCAGAGAAACTACATGAAGCGTGTCGCAGTTTTAAATGCTGCAAAGAACATCATGAATAACATGATAAGATTCAGACCTGCAAAATCGTGTCTTGCAGGTGTTTTAAGAAGCTTCATGGGGAGTCAACAGGAAGAATCTGAGCGTGCAGTGATGTGGACACAAAGAAATTGCAGAAAAAACCTGCAAATCTGTTTAAACAGCAAAGAGGAAAACAGTCCTAAGGTGAGAAGTGACTGTAAATCTGTTTATGAAATTGGTCAAGACAAAGATAGGATGGTTCTTCTGGTTGAATTCGCAGCAGGTGACATTAAAAGTCAGTGGAGAACAGAGGTTCAAGGTGCTGGTTTCAGTTTTGCAGAGGAAATAGAAGTAGTAAGCAGGTTGGGAAGGTTGTTTACAGAAAGTGAGAGTCAACATGAAAATGTTGAAGTATACTGTGACAAAAAGAGCAAAAACTGGTTGCTTAAGGTCACAAGTGCAAAGAATATTGTAAGCAGTATGCAGTTCATAAGGAGAAGGATTGGAGAAGTGGTAATCAAGACTGTAAAGAGAGTAAGTGCTTATGTTCAAGCCAAAGTCTTTACTAAGGAATTACCGGAGAAAAAGCTTCAAGCATATATGAAGCTTCTCAAAGTATCACAAGCCTGATATTTTTCAGGATCCGAGATGGAAATCAAGAAAAGCTAGAACAGTGAAGAGAAGAGGTTTGACACTAAGGCAAAGGTGGAGTTTTGTGAGGTTTTGCCCAAGTGTCTAAGAAACTCTTACCCAAGAAGAAGGTTTCAGCAAAAGAAACAAAGACGGTCACGAGGAGCTCACGTGACATCTATACAATACAGCAAAGGGACAAAGGAATAATTAACCTATGTCTGAACTCAATCTCTTTTGTCTCCTTCCTCTGTACGGAACAGAGCATGCGAGAAAGAAAGAAGAAAGAGAGACAGGTTGTCTTGTATAAAAGGGGAGTAAGCTGAGGTCTTTTAGGGTTAAGACGTAAAAGAGAGCAATAACAAGAGACGGCTAAGTTTATAGCTGGTATGTAGGGTTTTTTGTAACCAAGAACAGGGCTTTCTAGTGGATTTCCGAGTAAATCTCGGCGAGACGTAGCGTTTCCGATTTGGAACGTGAACTCGTTAAAATTGCTGTGTCTTTTACTTTCAGTTCTGTTTTTCCAAAGCTTAACACACGAGAGAAAAACATTCCGCGAGTGAAAGTGAGTTTAGAGACAAAAGTTCAAGTATTTCTTACAAAAGCTTCAATGCAGATTGTTTATTTCAATTACTGGAGACCTTAAGGATGGT